TAAGTACAACTTTTAATACACCATTAATACTAATGATTAAACATTATTCCTTAGTCTTCTGAATTWACCTTGAAATATTTTCTAAAAGTAAAAGAATTGTATAAAAGACATATAAACTCTTGAAAATATGAATTGACCGTCACTACCTCAATCTTCTCTCCTTTTGTGTCTTTTCAGTACCTTAGTCTGTTGTTTTCTCATTAGCTCCCCCTGCGCTTTGGGCAATACCATTTCCTCTTTGTTTTATAAGTTCTCTCATTTCCCCCKAAGAAATGTGGTTACATAAATGATGTATAGGTCATTGGGATCTAGTACAAATTCAGTAGGCGAGGCTTATCTTTCCTGCATGACCTTAGAGCATTTCTTTTTCTTGGCTGACTTGGATTTTCTTTCTTTAGATGACTGATCATCACAGTCTTGATCCCATTTGTCTGTAACATAAATCATGACTTTAACTGGTTCTCTACCTATGGGATCTTCTTGAAGCTCTTTCTGGCTGGCTAGAATCCATTTTTGCTTCTGCTGAGGCTCATTCACTTTCAGCATGATCTTGGAGATACTGTAAATGTAACTCCATTTGTCTTTCTCAATTTTCCACTAATTCAAGCATTTGTGTGATGATCTGAATTTTTTCATCTCCTAATTCTTGTACATTGATTAATGTTCTCTGGACATGCTGCAATAGGTATTTTTTCTGGTTTGAATCATCTTCATTATTCTATTTTYTCATAGACATAAATTTTCTTTAATGTTTATATAGCCAGGTCAATGACAGTCCCGGCTGAAGCATCCCCCTCTTGATTCATTGGGTGGCAAAGAGAATTGAAACATATAGCAAACAAGTTTCCAACCCCGCTAACACTCTGCTAACACAAACACTCTGCTAACACCCTGCATAGCCTGGCTTCCTCCTAAACAGCCAGCACCATCTATGTAAGCAGTTGTTATTTCTGAAGTTTGCTCAAAAYACATTCTTTTATTTTATCCTAAGTAGGTTTATTGTATAATTTAATCTAATTCCCTTTGTATTAAACACTGTTCAATACTTTTGGAAATAGCTTACTTAATACCTTTCCACTTTAGGATTTATTCAAGAAATATTCAGATGTCTGCTATATGTAGGGCACTGTGTTAGATTCTGTGGGAGTTGCAAAGATGATTTAAATACATATCTTTCTCCTGAGCATCTTTAAATTTTAGAAGGAGGAAGTATAGCTAGAATGATAGAATGTAGTATGATTTTCAGAGGAGAAAGATAACTTCATACTTGGTAGAGTTGTATGATATTTAATTTTATGTGTYAGTGGGCCACAGTGTCTTATAACAGATGTTACAAAGAAGACAGATCAAGCATTCTCCATATTTCTGAGAAGATATTTTTTGGATAAGATTAGTGTTTAAATGTGTAGGTTTTGAGTAACTAGATTACCCAAAATAAAATGTTGATGGGCCTTCACTAAACCCTTAAAGGCTGTAATAGAACAAGCTGGTGCTGTGTCCCACACCTATAATCTCAGTTGCTCAAAAGGCTGAGGCAGGAGGATCCAGCCTCAACAACTAAGCAAGGCCCTAAGCAACCTACCAAGCCTCTGTCTCTAAATAAAATATAAAAATGGCTAGAGATGTTGTTCAGTGGTTAAGTACCCCTGGGCTCAATCTCCTGTACCTTAAAAGGTGGAAAACTTTAATAGAACAAAGACTGACCTCCTGTGAGCAAGAAGGAATGTTACCAGCCTACTGTAGATTTTGGATTTACCAGGTCTTTTGGAATAACACATGCTCTATTTTTCCTGTGCTTTTACACCACAATCAACAAAAGGCTTTCATGACCCTAACAACCTAGGGATTTCTTCCTTCCAGCAAGCAAGCARCTCTGTAAAAGCAGACACAAGCTGGATTTAATTTAATTCTGACACTATCTACTATTTAATTCTGTGGAAATAGCACTCACAGGTTAAGGGCTTAGTCCCAAACCCCAGGTTTTACCTTTGCTTCTTCTGTCCAGTTGTAAATTGGGGTTCCCACTCCTTCCTTGGGTTTGATAATTTGTTTGAGTGGCCCACAGAACTCATCTATTGGTTTATTATATCAGATGTTACAAAGAAGACAGATAAAGAGATGTATAGGTAAAGTATGGGAAAAGGGACATGGAGCTTTTCATGCCCTCTGGATACACCATCCTCTAGGAAAACCTACATGTGTTCAGCTACCTGGAAGCTCTATAGCCTTGTCCTTTGGGGTGTTTTATGGAGACTTCATTGCATAGGCATGATTAAAGCATGGGCAGCTGTATAAAATGAGATTAAACAAAAAGAGTATTGTCTGATGCCAGTAGGTTGGATGGGAAAAACAAGGAAGGTCTGTGGTTCCAACAATCTGCTTAGCCTCTCAGTGCAGCAGTGTTCAGGGCAGGACCAAGTGGTACTAAGGATCAAACCCAGCATCTCGCACGTGCTATGCRAGTGCTCTACCACTGAGCCACAACCCCAGCCCCTCTCTGACCTATTTGAGGGGAGAGAAATTCTAGTTTCTGGGCCTGCCTTGGGAAGGTTTTCTTCAAAGATGTTTTGGGAAATACACCCTTAATTTCAAATCCATTTATTAGCTTTTGTGGGGAGGGATATGCTGGAGAGCAAACCTAGGGCCTTCAGCATGCTGAGCATGTGCTCTACCACTGAGCTACATCCCCAGCCCCTATCAAAAACAATTTCTTTTAAATCAAGTGACTCCCTATTTAACATGATAAAGTATATGTTTATAGACTTGTGGTTTTTGTGTTTTAATTTCCCAGTTTTTGTTAAAATGCTATGTGATAGCATTATTATTTTGTCACACTYTGTAGCCCTTTCTGTAACTATTAAATTTACATTCTGTTCTAGAGCCATAATAAATCATCATGTACAATTACATGCGAGAATGAGTTTATTATCCATTTCCTATATTTTGGAGGGGATGGTGCAGGGTGCTGGTGATTGAACCCTGAGCCTTGAGCATATTATATGTGCTCCACTGCTGAGCTTCGTTCTCAGCCCCATATCGTATGTTTTTAATATTTTCTCTTATTCTGTTGTCACTAGGTCATTGGTTATTTCTTGGATCTTCATAACTATCACCTCTTGTTTTTATTACTGTACTACCTTTTACTTTTTCTTTATATTTTTTGCTTGTTCTCCAAATTAYTCTTTTAGTGACTTGATATTACTGCATTGACTTGTTTGTTTTGTTTTGTTTTATTTTCCCCAATACTGGGGATTAAGCCAGAGGTATATCCCCAATCCTTTTTATTTTGGGACAGTCTTTTAATAAGTTGCCTAGACTGACCTTGAACTTGTGATCCTCTTTCCTCAGCTACCTAAGCAGCCAGAATTCAGGTGTGCACCACCAGGCCTAACCTGTTACTTGTTCTTGATGCATATATTGTGCTGTTACTTTGCTACTATAAATATTAGTCCCAAATATTTTTCATGTATCTTTGAAGACCATGTTTTATTTCTGTTATTGTTTTTTTCTTCCCTCCTTATTCATTGCTTCTTKTACTTCTCTTTTCTCCGCTTCTTTTCATCTATCTCTTCTGTAAAAATTTTCTCGATTCCATACCCTTTATACTTTTTTTCCCTACACATTCCAATATAAGCTGCTTGCCTGAAYATGGAATACAGATTCTTTTCTAATTCATTCTGAATTTACTTGGATATAGTTTGAATGGTTTGATTAGGCCTTAGAAGACCTAATAGAACTTCTCTCTGATTTTTGTACAAGAGCCATTGATTTTTCTCTCTGCTCCAGAATTAGCCCACTTTTCTTTTCTTCAGCCTCCTTGTCACTTCCTCCTGACTGCTTAAAGATTGTTTGGCCATTAGGAGAAGGGGAGCTCTACTGGGGCATTCAACACCTTTTCACTACACCTACATTCCAGTCCCCTTCTACTAAGTTAGGGAATAGTAGTGAAGATTTCTCCGGACTTAGAGTGGACAGGGAGTATGCTACATGTGGATTCTGGGCTTGGTCTTCCAGACTGGACTAATTCAGTCTGTATTTGAATGATTTGGGAAGGGGAGCAATACTGGGGATTAAACCCAGGGCCTTCCGTGTAATAGATAACTGCTCTACCACTGAGCTAYATCCAGTCCTTTTTGTTTTTTTATTTTGTGACAGGGTCTCACTAAGTTGCCAAAGCTGATCTGGAACTAGTAATGCTCCTGCCTCAGCCCTCCCGAGTTGCTGGGATTACAGGCATGTGCCACTGCACCTGGCTTGGATACATTTTTCAGAATTCTTAAAGGCAGTGAATCTGAAAATTAAATAATCATTAGAGACTCAGGGGGTTGGTTTAATATGCGTTTTTCTGGACTCTGTCCCCAGAATGTCTAATTTTGTCAAAATCTTTATTTACAGCCAGTTTACCCTGTTGCAGGTGGTCCACAGTTTAACTTTGAGTAGTGCTCAAAATAATATGTCTTAATAATGCAGTAGATATTTTAGGTAACTCGGGAGTTTCAGGCTGTCCCATGAGGCTGAATAACTGACAGTTGCTCATTCTAGCTTCTAGAGAACTTTTTGCTAACCAAGTAATTGTTACCTTAAAAAAAAAAAAAACAGGACTTTGTAGGCTGGAAAAATCTTTGTTGCCACCCCCTCCCTAACCAAGAAGTAAGACATAAGTTTGAAAATAATTATTTTGCTGAATGGGGACATTAAATCAGCAGTGCAAGGAAGGACATTTAAATACCTTTCCATAGTCACCAGAAATATAGGTAAATATAAACGTAGAAAGAACACAACCTCATAATTCTGATAATCTTTTAAATCAAGTACATTTAGCTTAAGCAAAACCCACTGTTGTCCTCTTTTAAAAAAATGATATCTATAAATCAATGAATACCTTCTGACATGATACTTCAAAACTGCAGCTTGATACTTGGAACAGTACTGAGAGGCCTTACCTGAATGTGTGAATATGATGACTAGTAGCACATCTCATATCTTTATTTTCTCAACAGTTCGATCCTTTGGTACAGAAGACAGACCAACAGATCGTCCTATACCACCTCGAGATGAAGTCTTTGAATATATTATATTCCGTGGGAGTGATATTAAAGATCTCACCGTTTGTGAGCCACCAAAACCACAATGTTCTTTGCCTCAGGACCCAGCTATCGTTCAGGTAACTGATAATAAATTGTCTTGGARTACAGGTAAACTTTGCACACATGCATAATATAACCCTTGATTTGCCTCTGCTAGTTGAATGTGTAATTTACCATTTCAAAGTTGCCTGAATACCTAAAATTACCTAGATAATGTTCTTACCTAGATTTTCCTATTTGGATTRTWAATTGGACTAAATAAGAAATAGCTGCAGAATCTATAAAATATTTTTTTTAATTTAAACAAGACTAGTGTTACAATGATTAACATTTATTGAAAGCTAACTCTAGAAGATACTCTATTCAAAGCACAAGCACTGTACATAAAATCAGTCCTCATGTACCCTCTGAGTTTGATCCATAATTTTTCTTACTTTTACAGRTAAGGAAGTTGAGAAAGAATAATTTGAATAGACCCAGGCAATTTGGCTCTAGAATCCAGGGCTCTATAACACTACACTATTCAGATAATGGTTTATATTACAAACTAGGGTGATGATAGCTACTCTTAAATAAAAATTATTAGGTTTAATGGGAGGAAAATGCCAAGTCAC